ATCTAGCAATAGAATAAGGCCACACAATATGCTAAAATATATAGGCCGGCTGTATATTATCACCTGGTTGTGGCCCTAGAAAAGAAAGTTAACAGAATTTTTTTTTCATATCAACATAAAATTATTTCAAATGCATAACTAACACTGCACAAACTCAAGAAGTTTCAGTGCTTACATAGACATCACATATCCCACAAAATAGATATTAGAAACTCATTTCATTTTAAAATCCAAATAAGCCCTCCACATCAAGATTTTGATAGCCATCTATACAATGCACGTTATAATAGAACACTGAACCTACTGAACCTCTGATCAGAATTCACTGTTAAGTTTTAATATTGTTTATTGGAATTGTAAGGTTGTTTAATCATCAAGTGATTCAAGACACAGTACAGAAGTAGAAGTATCAAATAGCAAGCAACCATCCAGGAAATACAAACATTAAAATAATCGTCATTTATTAGTGGGTTCATAAAACCCCATGGCCCAAGGCCTGCTAGATACGCTATATCTTAACTGCTAAGAATCACATATGTAGTGATAAAAAAAAATAATCTGGAGATTCTTATGACATTATTCTTAGCAGCTCTTTTTAAATAGCCTAGTAAAGTCAGAAAATGTTGGCTGCTTGAGGGAAGTGGTGGAAATGACCTAATTACTGGAAAGTTCAAAAGGCCAATAAGGGAAAATACTATGGTGTGAATTTTCTCCCTGGAGCCTCTGATGTCTGACACTATGAGAATCTGTTTGTACTATGAAATAGTTGCACATTAACTCTATTTTCCAACATTCAGGAGATCTGCCTGTATTAAAAACAAACAAAACAAAACAAATTAAATATAGTTCCTCTATTACCTGAAAGCCTTGCTCACTAGACTTTAATGCTGAAGGCCACAAAGGTGAAGAAAATCACTTCCTTGCAATTGTGTTTTCTTGCAGGTTACCCTTGTCAAAATTCCCTGACCAGGATTCAGTTGTGAATTGTAGGCCTGTTAATTCTGCATAGCTTAATTAGTTCCTCAGTTCAGCTCAACAGAAGATTCACAAATGTTTTGGCTAGATTAGAATTTTTTTTACTGTTGACAAGAATGAAACCACACACCACAGTTCATTGCCTGCTACCAGTGAGATTTCAATACCTTTTATACCCCACTAGGGGTTTAAACGTTTAGGTTTCTTTCTCCTGTCCTTCCATTTTAATGGATTTTTGGCATGATGCTCAGCAGCTGTTGAACCTCAGAGAACGTTAGATGTTTACATAGCAGCTTTTACCCTCATACTGATCACTCTAATGAAATTCTGTGAAATATGGAATTCAGTAAAACACCTGTCATGCCTAGTTTAACAAAAATGTAAAATAAAATAGATTACATATGTACAGACTTTAGGCTAGAAATGAAGAAGTAGAATGAAGTATAAATTAAATTTTAGAGAGCAACCTTTCAAATAAGGCATGATAGTCCAATCCGTTCAGATTTCAAGAGACCAGTCAAACCCTAAAATTTTCTCTTATAAAATATTTGGGGAAGGCTGATCTCGGTAAGCAAAAGCCAAACTCCCTCCTTAGCTGGTTCAAACTTGGCTGAAATTTGGCATGGCATGGCACGGCACGCCTACCATGAGCTCTTCACTGTACTCCAGGACTGGAATTATTTTAAATCATTTATTGCCTTCTAACAATTAAGATTACTGCTCATATACTAAAGCCTTTGAGGCTTAAACCTGGTGCCTTTTTTCCTGTCTTTTCCACAGTTTAACAGAAATTCTGCATTACAATTCTTGTGTTCTATGAGCTAGATAGTAATTGGTTTTTGACATTTTCAATATTCCTGCCCTGGGAAATTATAGCTCCCAATATATCTTCAATTGAAATCTATTTCTGCTTATAGGCTGCCACTGTTCATTATGGAACTGATCCAATTTTAAAAGTATTATGCTTTTGTTGAAGCAAACTAGCCTAATAACATACTGTTAGCTGAAATGCAAGACATAAATAATAAATTATAGAGAAACATAAAATAATCAGAAACCGAAGAACAATGCAAATATTTTTGCATCAAAAATAAAACAGCAAAATTCATACCATGGTATAAATTATATCCTAATTATTAAGACTATGTAGCCTCACTAGGGCTGAGGCCTAAATCTGTATCTTCCTGTGGATTCAAATTTTGCAGTATTGCTAATGAATGCAATACTGCATTATGTTTTTGGTAAAGGATGAGAAAAGACATGATTTAATAAACAGGCATATGCAGATTAAGTCCTTCAGCACTCTGTGGCCTGATTCAATATAAAACAGATTTATACTTTAATAATCATGAAATATTATATTTATAAACCTGAGGATTCAGAGAGATGTATTCCAGAATCTCTGTATTTTGGGAGACATGAGATTGTGGCACATGATCACTACAAGAGACCTGACCAATTAAAAGATCAGTAAATCATTAATGTCTAAAAGATGAGGTGAGGAAAAGTAATTAAAATGTAGATAAGATTTAAAGCTACAGTCCTCTAACAATTTCTGTATTAAACATAAAATGGGTTAGGCTGGGGTACTGTAATTCTTTTAAGATTACATACATGTATATAGAATAGAATTCTTTGAATCCCAGTGGTGGGATTCAAATACCTGAACATCAGGTTCTCTGCATGGATGCAGGCTTGGGTCTCCAAGGCATAGAATTGAAGTGACATCCACACACTTCCGATGGGCTGTTCTAGACCTGGGAGACCTTCTCCAGGCCTCCGAGGCCTAGAACGGACTTCCAGAAGCAGCATGGGTTCAACCGGTTCTCCAAACTCAACAAAATTTAGCTACCGGGTCTACCAAACCCGTGTGAACCGGTTGAATCCCACCACTGGCCAAGTCTGATTGGACACACAAGGAATTTGTCTCCGGTGCATAAGCTCTCAGTGTACATACAAGCAACAAGTGATAAATCATGATCATAAGATACAACACTTCATGATAGTCATAAGATACTAAATAAAAGCAATCAACATAAATCATAAGATATAAACGACAAAGTGATAGTCGTAAGATGCTAAAGGAATAGGTAATAAGAAAGATGAGAAGGATAATAGTAATACAGCCCTACCACGTGGTTTGATATCCTAGGGCATAAGAAAGTGTTGTGGGAATTAGTTGTTTAGCAGAGTGATGGCATGGGGAGAAACTTTCTTTGTGTCTACTTCTTTTGGCGTGCAATGATATATACAATTTATATATACATAGTTACACATTTTAGATTATATTACATATAATTTATATAATTTTATAAGCCATATAATGTATAAACTAGATCAGTGATGGCGAACCTTTTAGAGACCGAGTGCCCAAACTGCAACCCAAAACCCACTTATGCATTGTCGGGTGCCGGGTGGGTGTGGCCCATTGGCTGGGTGTGGCCCATTGGCTGGGCGTGGCTCACTGGCTGGGCGTGGCTGTGGTAGTAACGGCAGACTGGGTGGGACTAAAACGTTCAATCAATCAATTCCAACTTTGCAAGAACTTTTTTTTCCCGCGAGAAGTTGAAATTGACTGATTGATTGAACCTTTTTTTTTTGCACACGGTGGTGGAGGCCTAAAGCTGAAAAGGTTTTATAAAACCCAGCTGAAGGACTAGGACTGGGGCGACGGCGTGCGTGCCCACAGAGAGGGCTCTGAGTGCCGCCTCTGGCACCCGTGCCATAGGTTCGCCACCACTGAACTAGATAAATCAACTAACATGGAATAAATATTTAAATTAAAGGCCACTAACATCACACAATTATTTTTACTATAGTACACTAACAGTGCAACAATGACTTTTTACATGTCTAGAAATCTGTGTAATGGGCAGCAAAAGAGTGTGTGGTAGTATGTGATGTATGTGGTGATGATCTGAGAAAGTAACTAAAGCCACCATGCCAAAGACCCGGCTGCCTCATTGTTTCACTCACACCAACAGGCTGTGCAAGGAGAAAACTCATTAAAATGCTATGCAAAGCTCTGCTATTTTACTTGTGGCAGCAATGTGTTCGAGCAGATTAATTTTTAATAATAAAGTGTTAGGTTCCTAGATGGAAAAATGAAATAACAGCCTGGAAAGATAGATTTATTTTGACTTTCATCAATTCACTTCACCAACTGACCAAGAAGGAGCACCAACAATAAAAGCACATATGTGGTAACTGAAACTTACATGTATAGGTGAGGCAGGATCAGGCTGAACACTCTAAAGACAAAACAAGATTCATTGTATTAGCTTTGGATTTGTTATCACAGAATCCAAAATAGAAATAATGGATTTCTCATCTATCTGTCTGTCTGTCTGTCTGTCTGTCTGTCTGTCTGTCTGTCTGTCTATCTGTCTATCTACCTATCTGTCTTTCTGTCTATCTATGTACAGCTTCCTGCGCCAATACATCTCTAAGTAGTTTACAGTAAAAGCAAAAATAAAATACATAATAAGAACAATACATTTTGACAATATAAAACACATGTATAAAAGAATACATTACCTTTAGAAGAGAGTATTGACAGCTTGCCATAATAAGACAGAACAGGATCACCCAAATGTCTTTACAAAAACCTTGGTTCATGATTACAAAGCCAAGAAAAGAAACAAGGATTACTAGAAGAACTGCCAAAACATTCTCCTTGACATCTTCTGTCCTGTAAAAATAACACACCAATATATTTTCAAAAGCAGAATATAATCATAAATCTACCATTTCTATATAGGCTTATAAATTGAGCCCAGATCAATTTGTCATAAATGTACTTCAATTTCTCAAGATGTCCCTATGAAGGCCCCATGGCCCCATGGGGTCAACTTTACCTGGTCTCTCTGTGAATGGCATTCTCTGTACAGCCTTACTGGTAAGAAAAATATCTTTGCACAAGCAAAAGATTGCCAAATCAAAGCAACTAGCAAAAAATAATTAGCTTAATTATTTTCTTTGCAGACATCATGAAATGTATCACTGAAACAGACTACTTAATAAATGTATTTACTGAAAATTTTTCTGTTACAAAACCAGTAAGTAAACTTAAACATTTAAAAGTGCAATTTTGCAAAAATGATATAAAGCAATACAAAGAGGTCAACATTTAAAACCAAAATTTTATCTATATATACATTTAAGTATCTAGACTCTTGACAATCAGTGGCATACAAATGGTTGTAAATCAGTGCAATAAATAAACAAAATCTGGATTAAAAACAGATTAATAACCAGCAAAACAAGAATGGGGTTTGTTGATAACTGCTCTTCAAGGTTCAGGAGCCCTAATTTATATGCAGCTATTGAAAATACCCTCACTCTCATGTCTCTCCTAATGTTAGAGAACTATCAGGAATTAGGTCCTAAGGTTACAGACAGAATGCAAATACACACGAGAGAGCCACTAAAATGCATCATCTAATATCCAATATGTAATTTAGCAGATCCGCCTTTTTATTTGCGTTGTTGTGTAGAAAATATAGAAATGCA